GGGGCGGCCGCTGGCTGTGCTAAGTCGAAGGTGTAAACCCACATCTGTGCCCCAGGGACACACAGGGCTGGGGCGGCCGCTGGCTGTGCTAAGTCGAAGGTGTAAACCCACATCTGTGCCCCAGGGACACACAGGGCTGGGGCGGCCGCTGGCTGTGCTAAGTCGAAGGTGTAAACCCACATCTGTGCCCCAGGGACACACAGGGCTGGGGCGGCCGCTGGCTGTGCTAAGTCGAAGGTGTAAACCCACATCTGTGCCCCAGGGACACACAGGGCTGGGGCGGCCGCTGGCTGTGCTAAGTCGAAGGTGTAAACCCACATCTGTGCCCCAGGGACACACAGGGCTGGGGTGGCCTGGGCGGCCTGGGCTCAAGCCTGGCTCTGCTACCGGCTCTCAGTGGCTGATGGCCAGGCACGTGGGTGGATCCAGCTGGATGCCCAAGTGAGTGGTGGGAGGTGGTGTGTGTGGCGGGGAGGGGGAGTGCCTGCATGGATGTTGGCCGGGCTGAGCATCAGAGCCACATGCGTATAAGAGGAACAGGGTCAGGGACAGCATGTGAGTGGGGAACACAGGCCCTGTACTGCCCTGGGGACGGAGGGAGGGGTTGGTAAGAGGAGGCTTAAAGGACTTAGAGTTTCCTGCACACAAAGCCCCCAGATCTGCTGAAGAGTGGGGAGAATGTCGGTGGAAGGGTGAAGAGAAGGTCTCTGAGAGGCAGTGGGGCTGCTTCGAAGGGAGAGCGGAGGCTGAGGCTCTGCAGTGGGGACTTCCATGCCAGGCTGCAATATTTTCTTTTTTTTGAGACGGAGTTTCGCTCTTGTTACCCAGGCTGCAGTGCAATGGCGCCATCTCGGCTCACCGCAACCTCCGCCTCCTGGGTTCAAGCAATTCTCCTGCCTCAGCCCCCTGAGTAGCTGGGATTACAGGCACACGCCACCATGCCCAGCTAAATTTTTGTATTTTTAGTAGAGATGGGGTTTCACCATATTGACCAGGATGGTCTTGATCTCATGACCTCATGATCCACCCGCCTCGGCCTCCCAAAGTGCTGGGATTATAGGCGTGAGCCACCGCTCTCAGCCAAGGCTGCAATTTTTAATGCAAGAGATGGACGCTGTCTGACAGGCCACTGGGGAGGAAGCCTTGGAAGGTGAGGTGGGGAAGATGGGAGAAGACAGGGTCAAGCGTGGCAGAGGGGGCGATGGCCAGAGGGGCTGGACCCAGGCAAGGGTGTGGTGGGGGTGGTGGTAGGCAGGAAGCAGCAGGGCAGGGGAGCCAGTAAGGGTAGAAATGGGGCCTCGTAGAGCGAGCCTCCAAGGCCGTCCTTGCTGAGGTCTGGCTGCCATCTCTTTGTCAGGCAAAAGACAAGGCCGTTGTGCATGCAGGGAGCGCAGTCGGGAGCGTGTGGATGGCCTGGGCCGCTCTTTGTGGAGAACAGAAATGTGGCTATGGACTGCCAGGCAAGGCATCAGGCCGGGCTCCGTCCTATCCTGCAGGCTCCTCCACAGCCCTCGACGACTCCCATGGGGCGGGGTATGCCAACGAGGGCTGAGCAAGGGGACGGGTGAGGGAGGGAGAGGCCACGGCCTGGGAGAAGGGGAGAGAGGAGAGGGCCAGGCAGGACATCATCCCTGGGATGCAACATGGGCCCATGCCCAGAGGAGGTGGCTGTAAATATCAGATATGATCGCCACCCAGGAAAACACTTAGAGGACAGACAGAACATCTGCAATCTTATCCACCTGCACGAAAGGCACCAACACCCCCACCCCCCAGATAAGCAGGCAATATTTACAACCGATAACTCAAATACAAGAACTAGGAATGGCTAAAAAGGTCAAAAAGGCAGGCGTGGTGGCTCAGGCCTGTAATCCCAGCACTGTGGGAAGCTGAGGCAGGTGGATCACATGAGGTCAGGAGTTTGAGACCAGCCTGGCCAACATGGTAAAATTTCGTCTTTACTAAAAATACAAAAATTAGCCGGGCATGGTGGCTCACATCTGTCATCCCAGCTACTTGGGAGACTGAGGCAGGAGGATCGCTTGAACCTGGGAGGCAGACATTGCAGTGAGCTGAGATCACACCACTTCACTCCACCCTGGGTGACAAGAGCAAAACTGTCTCAGCCTCACTAGGGATTGAAGAAAGGCAAATTAAAGTTAGGTCCTGTGGGGTGCGGTGGCTCACACCTGTAATCCCAGCACTTTGGGAGGCTGAGGTGGAAGGAGCACTTGAAGCCAAGAGTTCCAGACCAACTGGGGCAACACAGCAGGACCTGTCTCCAAGAACATTTTTAGAATGACCCAAGCATCGTATTGCATGCCTGTAGTACCAGCTACTTGGGAGCCTGGGGAAGTATTGCCTGAGCTTAAGAGGTCGAGGCTACAGAGAGTTATGACTGTGTCACACGGTGCTCCAGCCTGGGTGACAGAGCAAGACCCCATCTCCTAAAAAAAAAGAAACTTAAAAAACAAGGTCCCATGTTTCCTCCTATCAGATTGGCAAACGTTTAGAGGAGAAGTACTATATCATGTTGACAAGATTGTAAATTAGAATAATCTTTCTAGAAAGCCATTTATAGTAACCATCCAGAACGCTAAAAATGTTCCTAGTTTTTGACTCGACTTCTACATTTCTGTGAATATATCTTAGGAGAAATTAGAAATGCAAACAAAGCATTGTTTTTAGAAAGGTATTCACTGCAATGTTGATGGTGGCAAAAAAAACTGGAGGGCGGCACCACGTCCAGCCCAGCCGTAAATGACCCGCCGAGGAACGCTGAGACAGTCAGGATGAAGTAGAACGCAGGAGTAAGAGAAGCTTATGTCCGACCGAACCCTGAAAGCCGCAAGCTAAGTGAGAGACAACGGTCAGGAGAGAGCACGCATTTTATGACTCCATTTGTATGGAATGTCCAGAAGGGAGGCCCGTGGAGACAGAAAGTAGAATGGTGGTGGCCGAGGGCTTGGGGGCACAGGGAGTGATGGCTAAAAGGCATGGGCTTCTTTCTAAGTGATGGAACTGTTCTGAACTTGACTATGGTGATGGCTGCAAACACCCACGGAGATAAAAAAAAAGCCACTCAACGGGCTGGGTGCAGTGGCTCACACCTGTCATCCCAGCACTTTGGGAAGCTAAGGCAGGTGGATTGCTTGAGTCCAGGAGTTCGAGACCAGCTCCGGTGACACAGTGAGACCCTGTCTCTACGAAAAATCCAAAAGTTAGCCAGGTGTGGTGGTGCACACCTGTAGCCCTGGCTACTCGGGAGGCTGAGGTGGGAGGATCACTTAAGCCTGGGAAGTGAGGCTGCAGGGAGCTGTGATGATGCCACTGCATTCCAGCTGGGGCAACAGAGTGAGACCCCCTCCAAAAACACAACAAAAAAGAAACCCGTTGAATTGTGCCCTTTAAATGGGCGAATTACAAACTGTATCTCAATGAGGCTATTTGAAAAGTCCCCATAATACACGCCCACTGCCCCCCCAAAAGAAATGTTTATGAGGAGTTTATAACAAGCTGGGAATCTGCTAAATAGGAAACACGAGCTGGCAAACACAGGGTGTTTGGGATACGACGTGGCACAGATGGCTTGAGATCAACTGTGATTACATGGAAAGAAAAAATGAAACAAAACTGGCCGGAAAGTGAGGCCGACTGTGGCTGCACAGCCAGCAACTCTGTTTTCTTCTTCGTACCTCTCTGGACGTGGCAAACTTCCTCCCGCCAATGAGAATGGGAGGCAGAGCCCTCCACAGAGAACAGAGCTCTGTGCAGGGCCAGGCCCCTTCCCGTGGGCCATCCGGCCCCCTTGAGTCTTCAGCCGGGGAAATGAGACACAGTGACTGGGACTGGGATGGGTGTGGCCAACCCTGTCCCCCGAGGTGGAGGAGCTGGCCGGGGGTTTGAAAGAAGGTGGTCTGAGGCCAGGTCCAGCTCTGTGCCAGCTCTTGGGTGCTGGGTACCTGGCTGTGGAGCTGGAGAGGGGAGCCTTGGGGATCCAAGGGTGTACCCCATTCCACCCTCTTCAGACTGGCCTTTGCAGCAGCCAGCGGGAGCTCTCTGAAACTCCAGTGTGCCAGGCGTTCCCTGTGCCAAAGCCTTCCTCAGCGCCCTCCCTACAGCCTCACGCCCAGCCCTGCCCTATCCTCCCAGCCAAACCCCCAGAGGCCAGCTCCTATGTCCTCCAGAGGGGCTCCCATGCCGGGCACAGCCCCTCTCCATTCTCGAGACCCTCTTCACCTGTCGCTTCACCCATGGACCATGGGGCCAATCCAGGGACAGGGACTATCCACCTGTATGCCCAGTACTTAGCACTGAGCCAAGGAGGGGCTAAAGGGTGGTGGGAGGGGTCTGTGAATCCAGAGGGTAGGCTGCCAGGTGGGGGGCTCCGTGAACCTGGAGAGGGTGGGCTGCAGGGTTGGGGGGACAGACTGTGAATCCGGAGGGTGGGGTTTGGTCCTGGCTGCCCCATGGGATTTATCTTATTGAACAAAACATAGTAAAGGGCATAACATGTCATTGTCGCACAGGAAACACACCACGTGACTACCTCTCAGACTGAGGAACACAACACCATCAGCACTCCGGAAGCGCCCGCTCTCCACATAATTGCTATCTGCACTGCCTGCGGGGTGACACCTGTACCTCCTGTGGGACGAGGTCCTGCTGGGGGCTCCTTTCCACCTTCCGTGCCTCCGCGTCCCAATCGAGACAGCAAAAGCCTGGGCAAAAACATCTCAAAGCCCTTCCCACCTCTTCCATGCTCTGAATTTGTCAAGTGGCACAGAAGAGAGCATCGCAAGGCAGGCTTCCTGGAGAAGGTGGTGCTGGGCAGACCCTGGACAGCGGCCGAGGGCATCCAGTGGCTGAGTTGGGAGGAGGGAGGTGAAGGCTCAGCCGGACAGATTCTTGCACAAACACACACAAATCTCCCAGTCAACTCCCAGTGGGCAGTTAGGTCTTAGCTCAGAGAGGTCAGGGGCCCTGCCTGCTGTGCTCACCTCCAGCACGCGCCCCGTGATGTATTTCTCACAGCTGTCACAGCGGATGCCAAACTTGGCATGGTAGTCAGCTTCGCAGTAGGGCAGCCCATCCCTGCAATGAGACAGGCAGTCAGGACAGGGCGGGGTCACTGTCAGGGACCTCCGAGTGCTTGACCCTTGAGATCTAACAACCCTCACCAACAAGAGGGTCTGCCCTCAGAGTAGGAGAACACCCACCTCCTCCTGCTCAGGTAACAAGGCCTCCAACAGGCAGTGTCACTGTGTGCTCACAGGCACCAGCCCCATGAGAAATATGAGGACAATGGTCCTGTTTCACAGAGGGAGAAACTGAGGAGCAGAGGCCAGCCCACCTGCCCAGTAGGTGGGAGGGGCTGACAGCTGCAGCTTCTGGGAAACAAGAGCTGCTTCTGCAGACCTAGCTCTTCTTTCTGGCTCTTTCCATCCAAAGTTCAACATCTGGGGTGCCTTAGAAAACTGTGAGCCAAAAAGGGGGGACAGCAAGGGTGCCCACTTTGGGGACAGGGCTGGAGGATGACAGAATGCCCAGGCAAGGGTGTAGAAGGGTAGGATGAGACATCACTGTCCCCCCTGCACCCCGCCCTGCATCACAGCCCCCAAATATGAGGGGTGACAAAGGCTGGCTCTGGCCACACATGGAGGGGCCCGGCCTTCTGCAGTGCCGGAAAGAGCAGGAGGGCTGCACAGATGTGTCCGTCCCTCTCCTCATGCACATGCGCCGTGTGCCCGTTATGTGCTAGGCGCATAGGACTCAGGGAAGTCCGGTCGAATGCCGTCATCCTGGGCCTGCCCCTCTAGCAGCGGCTGCCTCAGACCCTCCATAAAGGAGCTGTAGGGAAAAGCCGTCTGCAGGGTCATCCCTGGCACAGCTCCTGAGCTGATCTTCAAACCCGTTATCATGATTATTATGAGATCAGTACACCGGGTGGATGTCTGTGTAGATGCGGGAGGGAAGGTCAGCAGTGGCCACACATGGTGTGGGGAGGTGCTGCTGAGCCGTGGGTAAGTGAACAGGCCTGCACTCAAATGCGAGGTCCCAGCTGAGTGACCCTGGGCAAGTCGCTTAACCGCTCTGAGCCTCAGCTTCCCCACTGCAAAATGGGGAAAAGAATAGTAAGGACTAATGAAGAGAACAGCAGTCACTCTCCAGGGAAGGCGCTTGCCAAGGTGGCTGAAGCCACTGGCATTACCAACCAGGGCTGTCCTCTCAGCCCCAGCCACACCAGCAGCTGTGAGGGTGCCTGCCACTCCAATGCACCCCCTCTAACATCGCTGACGTTGCTGTAGTGTTCCAACTTTGGTGTGAGTTTTGACACAGCTGTGATAAAAGGGAGACTTCCTCAGGCTGTCATGGATTAGACCCCAGCTCACTTCCTTTTCTCCCAAGCTCTGACTGTTGCTAGGTCCCCAGGATGTGGGCTCATGAGTTCCAGACCTGGGTGGCCCTCTCCGGCTGCAGCCTGGGAGTGGCCCACAGCTCGGATGAGCCATTGCTTAAAGAGTGGCAGCCCTTCCTTCCACGTGAGAGGAAGACATAAAATGAGTCCTCAGGCTCACTTCCAAATGCTTCTGACCTCAGGACTCCCGTAATAACCCGCAAACTCGTGTATTTGCAGCAAACAGGAGGCTAAAGATAACATCTCCATGGTAACAGCAACGCCCTCCTCGTCAATTCTGGGACAGCTCTGGACGCTGCTAAGCAACGTGCGTGGTGTGGGTGAGCTGCCAGCGCTGCGGGAGGGGCCTGCCGTCTGCACAGGGCTGGGCGTTTTCGTTTTATATTAAAGTGCTGTGCACACCACACCGGGCAGTCCCTGGCTGATCGTGATACAGGCGGGAAACTCGTGCACCTCACAGGCCCTCACCCTGGGGGCAAGCTCACCTTGGTTTGGAGGTTTTACTTAAAAGGATGCATTGGAGATAATCAGAGATTTCCCAGCGGTTGTAAGAAACAATACCGAGAGATCCTATGGACCCTTCACCCAGTCTCCCCCCGCATGGCGACGTAGAATTAGTATATGCCGTCAGCCAGGAAGTGAACACGGGCAGCCTTCAGGCATCTCTCAGGCTCCGTGTCACACGCCCTCGATGTGTACGCTATGGGCATGTGTGCCTTGCTCTGTGCGATGTGCACGCTATGGGCACGTGTGCCTTGCTCTGCGCGATGTGCACACTGTGGGCATGTGTGCCTCACTCCGTGCCGTTCCATCACAGGACGCTTTTCATCTCGGGCAGTTCCTGTGATGACTGTGCTCCCATTGCGCATTGAGAACAAGCACAGCGGAGACAAAAGGGGCCAGAAGACCCCCCCAGCTCCCAGGAAGGGGCCCTCTGTGCAGATAAGCTGCCCTCTTCCCTCTTCTGCTCATCTACCTACTCGCCCTGACCTGCACCATGCAGAAGGCTTGCCTGTCTCAGGTCCCCGACCCCCGAGGGTTAAAACATACCCCCAGCTCCTGGCCCTGAGCTGCCTCCATTCAAGGCCATGATCTTCCCAGAAGGCTTCCCCAGGTCCCCAAACCAGCTACTGCCCCAGCTTGACTGCACATTTGTGGACATGTTTGGTGCCAGTGGCAGCCGCCCCAGGGGCCCCTGTGATTTGCAGAAGACCAAGTGTGTGGCTGTGGGGCCCCAGCCCCTCTCCTTGTCCCTGTGCTGGCCTCTGCTGACATTGCTTCACCTCCTGCAGGACATCCAGGCACCAGAACGGGCAGCCGATCCCATGGGGATGGTGGACGAGGACTCAGAGACAGGGAAGGAAGGCCCTTCCAAAAGGCAGCCCTGGTAGTCTGCTTCTCACCCACAAAAAAGCAGCTGGACACTGCGAGTGCCATTACAGAAGCCAGGGCTGGCCAGGGAAGGGGGACTCAAGCCTGTCGGGACAAATTTGCTAGGCTCTGGCCTGCGCTTCTTACCCAGCAGCAGGACAGTCATAGCTGCATGAGAGACGCAGAGAGCGTGGCCCTGGGGACACAAGCAGAGTGAGGGACTCCGCAGAGTAGGGAAGCCTGAGCAGAGGCACTCGCCAGAGCCTTCCCACACTTACTTGCTGATGTACTCGGCGTTCAGGAGCTTCCCACAGCTCTTGCACTTAAAACAGCCCAAGTGCCAGTGCTTGTCCAAGGCTACCAGGGCCTGGCCGTTCCTGATTTCTGTGCCGCAGCCCCCACAACCTGGAAGAAAGAGAACAGAACACAGACACCCCCACCATTGTGAGAGATGTCGGGCAGGCCCCTGCTCTGCAGATTCCATGAAGGTCCCTGGGGCAGCTGGAAGGGGAGGGACAGACCGCAGCCACAGGGAGTACACTGGGAGGCCCCTCTTACATAGCAGTCTCCGGAGCATGGGGAAGGCAACCGGGGAAGTTTGGCCCTGTATGCACTGAGCGCTGACTGCATGCAGCGTGGGCCATGAGCTGGGGAAACCCAGATGAACGGAGGCCTGTCTTGCAGGAGAGCACTTGGCTCCTGGCACAGAGACATGCCAGGTTGAACCCAAGTATGACTTGATGTGCCCACCAAAGGGAAATGGACCAGACGAGACAGGGCTGAGCCAGCTCCCAGCCCCCGACCCAGTAAGCCCTGGGGAGTCTCCCGCTGCACCAGCCAGCCAAACCCACCTTCTCTCTTCCTGCCATCCCCACGGTGACTGGCACTCTCCACCTTGTGGCCACCAGCCTCGTGGGCCCCTGCCTGGCCTCCTGGTGCCCTCTCTGACCTTCCCAGCCATGCCTGCTCTGCTTACTTGCCCCATGTCCCAGGCCTGGTCTTTCTGCTCTGGACCTCCAGGTTCTGGCCCTGCCCTGAGCAGTGGCCCACAGTCCCTCCACCTTACGAGCTGCCACACAGGGGTGCCACAGCTAGTATCAAGGGTGTGCTGCAGGTACGGGGGTGCCCCTGGCAGAGTGGGTGAAGCAGGTTGGGGAGCTGGGAGAGCCTGGTAGGTGCACAGGGTGCGTGTGAGTGCGTATGCATCTGTGTGCATGGCGTGACTGTAAGCATGCGGTTGCGTCTTGAGGGAAAGTGCACATTTGTGTCACTTGAGCCTTCCTGTGAACATGTGACGGCAGGGGTAGGAGTGGGAGGCGGAGTGGCAGAGATGTCCATGACACCGTCCCCAGGAAAAAGGACCTCTCACAAGGTGACCAGCTGGTGACAACAGCAACAGCAACTGGGACAGAGCTGTGCCCATGGAGTCAACCACCTGGCATGCACTGATTGATGGATGACACAACGCCCTCACTCCAGGGACCTGCACCTGTCGTGGCTGAATATGCATCAGCGTGTGTGACTGGTGCGTGGGTGTGTCTCTGTGTTTGTGTGTGCATGCGTGAACATGTCTGCATGTGAGTGTGTCTGTGTGTTTGTGTCTGTGTCTGTGTGTGTCTGTGTGTGTCTGTGTCTGTGTGTGTGTCTGTGTGTCTGTGTGTATGTCTGTGTGTGTCTGTGTCTGTGTGTCTGTGTGTGTGTCTGTGTCTGTGTGTCTGTGTGTGTCTGTGTGTGTGTCTGTGTGTGTCTGCGTGTGTGTCTGTGTGTGTCTGTGTGTGTCTGTGTGTGTCTGTGTGTGTCTGTGTGTCTGTGTGTGTGTCTGTGTGTCTGTGTCTGTGTGTCTGTGTGTGTGTCTGTGTGTGTCTGTGTGTCTGTGTCTGTGTGTGTCTGTGTGTCTGTGTCTGTGTGTGTCTGTGTGTGTCTGTGTGTGTCTGTGTGTCTGTGTGTGTGTCTGTGTGTGTCTGCGTGTGTGTCTGTGTGTCTGTGTGTGTCTGTGTCTGTGTGTGTCTGTGTCTGTGTGTGTGTCTGTGTGTGTCTGTGTGTGTCTGTGTGTGTGTCTGTGTGTGTCTGCGTGTGTGTCTGTGTGTGTCTGTGTCTGTGTGTGTCTGTGTGTGTGTCTGTGTGTCTGTGTGTGTGTCTGTCTGTGTGTGTCTGCGTGTCTGTGTGTGTGTCTGTGTGTTTGTGTGTGTGTCTGTGTGTCTGTGTGTGTCTGTGTGTGTCTGTGTGTGTGTCTGTGTGTCTGTGTGTGTGTCTGTGTCTGTGTGTCTGTGTCTGTGTGTGTGTCTGTGTGTTTGTGTGTGTGTCTGTGTGTGTCTGTGTCTGTGTGTGTCTGTGTGTGTGTCTGTGTGTGTCTGTGTGTGTGTCTGTGTGTGTGTGTCTGTGTGTGTCTGTGTGTGTGTGTGTCTGTGTGTGTCTGTGTGTCTGTGTGTGTCTGTGTGTGTCTGTGTGTGTCTGTGTGTGTGTCTGTGTGTGTCTGTGTGTGTTTAAGGGTATGGTTGTGTTGGAGGCATGACCAGGACAGGGCCTCAAACCCCGTGATGGACAGGCAGGGAGAGGATGACTGATGACAGGGCCCTGCTGCCCGCAGGAGCCCTTGAGTAATTCACAGCCCAAGCAGGGACCCCTCATGTCCCGACACGCTGGGTACAAATCCTGGCCCTCACTATGCGCTGGGTCACACTGAGTGTGCCCCTCCTGTGGGAGCCCCCATTTCCTCATTGTTGGGTAAGGAGATCACACTTGGTGCCTGCCCGGATGTGATGTTAATTTACACAGAAGACCTGGCCCAAAGCCCTCCATCCTGAGCGGACAGTGAGCACTGGCGAGGCCACACGTGAGCCTGCCGTGTGGTAAGGGCTCAGCAGAGGCCACTTTCCGGCATGGCTTCATGCGTTTCTTTGGCAGAGACCTGAGTCATATTGTTTTAACAATTAAAACAAACTAACACTCACAAAGCTGTTGGTCAGGCTCAGGATTTCCCAAGTGACCACACTGTGCATATTCATTTGGAAAACAGCCAGAGAGCAGATTCAAACTCTGAGGGAAGTGGGGCTTCTGACCCATCTCAGGACTCTGGGTGCCCAGCACAGGCTGTGGGCTTGAGAGACACTCGGGGAATGAATGAATGAATGAATGAAAGCCAAAGTGAGAGGACACCTCCACCCTTCACCAGTTCAGGAGGCGACCCTCCCCCATCAACCGCCCCCTTCCCCATGCTGCTTCCTGTTTCCCTCGGAGGCAGACAACGCATAGTCCCGGCTTTGCCTCTTGGCCCCTACCACTTAGCAGGTGATGAGGCCACATTCTGCAAAGCTCTGCACCAGTGGCCTCAACTCGGGGCACTTTTATCCAAGAGACACTTGGCAATGGCATAACTCGGAGGGGGTTCTGGGCATCTAGTGGGTAGTGTCCCTGCCAGGACAGCCACTTTCAGCAAAGGGCTCCCTGGGCTCGCATGTGAATGGTGCTGGAGCTGAGGTCCCGGCTCCGAGCCTTTGCTGGCTTCTCTGCATGTCAAGGGAGCACAGCACACAGGACTGCGTGGCGGCCAGAGGATGGACGGCAGAGAGCAGTGGTCGGATCCCCACTCTGCCCCCACAGGCTATGCCCTGGGAAAGCCACTTCACCTCTCTGTGCCCTTGGAGTGAGGGCATGTTTAATCCGGGGAAAAACGCATATAGGTGACCGGTGTGGCAGGCCCACCTCTGCGCTCACTGCCACTGCTGTTGCAGGTAGCCCCTTGCAGGAAGCCGACTCCCTCTGGGGTGCCACTGTGGGTATCTCCGACACTCTGCCTCCTACCGTATTGGCTGGTGCCCTCCCTTGCCAAGGAACTCCCTTCACCTTGAGCTCCAAGCTGCAGGGGGAGTGAACCTCACACCTGCCTCGGCCCCCTCATTCTCCCATCAGCAGTACAGGTGGAGATGAGAGCAAGGTGCAAAGGAGTGTTGCCATGGAAACCACATCCTCACGTTCTAAACACACCTGGAGCCCCACATCGCTTTGCGGGGCTGCACATGGCAGCTCAAGTCCTGTGTGACACAGCCTGTGGACCACAGCTGTCAGTGGCAGGCCATCACTAGCACGACAGAAGGGGCCTCAGGACACCCCAATGTCAGCTGGCCACAGAACCATGCACCTTGGCTGGCACTGCCCAGCAGCAGCAATGGCATGATCCTCCTAGAACCATCCGCTTTCCTATCTCCTCCAGAATGCTCCCTCTTCCACAAGATGTGGTCTTGGTAGGGGTGGGCTGGGGCAGGATGTGCCAGGCAACCTCCTGGAGCCTCAGCTGGGAGCTCAGGGAGTGTGGGAGCAGGGACCAGACCCCTAGCAGCACCCCAGGTCTAACCAGGAGTCAGGGGAGTAGGGCGGCATCTCAGATTCTAAGTTAAATCTGAGATTGGGTTTTGGAAACAAGGACTCTGAGAGAGTTCCAAAACTTGAAAGTGATTGAAAATCCATGAATGCGCCTTGCAGTTTCATTTAGGAACCTGTACTGAGGAAGAAGAGCTGCTGGGAAAGATGAATCACGGTCAAGGTCAGCCCCAATGCACTGCGGTCAGGACTAGACAGGGACACAGACCCGCCACGGGCCAGCTGAGGGGCGGGGGCTCCTAGGAGGATCCTGGATTTACCTCCTAGCCGCAGACAGGGGTTCTCCTGTTTCCTACACAGCCAGGGAGGGGTGGGGGCTCTGGGGTTTACCCCCTAGCTTCACCCCAAGCTCTCCTGTTTCCCAGGCAGCCAGCAAGGTAGGGGGGCACCCACCCTCTTAGCACCACCCTTGCAGGAGCAGAGAACACAGGGGCTCCTCGTGCCACAGCCCAGGTGGTGAAGCCCCATTGCTAGAAGAGTGGAGGACCCCAAAGCCCCATCCTTAGGCCCGGGACCCTGGGGCTGCCCACGCCTCTTTCTGCCCCTTCATCCCTGACTCTGTTGGGGCCTCCCCAGGTCCAGAGGGTAGACCTAAAGAGCCAGGGGCAGCCAGACCCAAGAAGTAGTTGCGGGGTCTTCTCAGCTTGGATGGTGCTTGCCATCCCTTTTCTCCATGCCAAGCCCATCTTTCCCAATGGCCAGCCTGCTGCCCACACCCCTGGCTGACCCACAGCCAAATCGAAGGCCCAGAGAGGGGACACATCTTGTGCCTAGCACACAGTGGGGAGTGCAGGGTCCACCCAGGGTAGCCGGGCTCAGAGCTGCTGCCAGGTCTGCATGGCACGCACACTCTGGGAGGGCCATCCTGTGACAGGCTCGTGGCCAGCAATAGGTCAGACCTGGAGAGCTGGTGGCCTCACAGGAAGGGGCGGAGCTTCAGGGACACATGGGACCCCCCCACCAACGGGGGTGGCGGGGAAGCTGAGGCATGCGGGGCTTTGGTTGCCCACCCTAAAGCATTTCTCGTTCCTGAGTGGCCTGCTTGGGGTAGCAGAGGGAAGCTCAGGGCCACGGGACTCAAGCTTGCGCTCTGCCTCACGAGCCAGCCACTCTCCCCTCCCCAGGAGAGGACAGCTGCATAGGCAGCCATGTGAGGCCCTGCCCTACTGCCCCCCGGCCCAGAAAGCTGGCCAGGCAGACGGTGCTGCTTCCTAAAATCTGGACTGACTTGGCTCCACCCTGCTCCACAACCATCTATGGCTCCTCATGGCCTCCAGACGTACCGAGTACACCATGGCGTGGCTTTGGAGGAAGCTGCCACCTGGTTTTGGTGTCTTGGTGCCATTCCCGTTCCCTGCCCCCATGCTGTAGCCCTGCCCACTCACACGGGTCAGGTGGATGCAGCCAGCACATTTCACAGGCGACAGTCTTTGCCTTCCCTTCTCACCTGTAGCATCCTCGCCCTTCCACGCCCACCTGGAATTCAGCCTGTCTCTCCAGTTTCGAACCAAAGACACCTCCTTGAATGGCAGTCCAGACTAGACAGGGACCGCCGTCTGGTCCTAGCTGGGTGAGCTCACTTGCTTTGGACTTGAAAGGCCTCAGCCCACCCCTTGGCACTTCCGCTCCTAGATGGATGCTGGGTACCCAGAACACCCACCCTGCCAGGCCCAGGGCACTGCTGCACCTCAGAAGAGCTCCTCCAGGCACAGCTGCTCGGGGAACAAATGGAGCCTGCAGTGGGGACCTGCAGACATCCACACAGGAGCCAGAACCGCTGTTTCATGCTTTTGAGGCACAGACCGGGGAGGCGGCAGGTTACATTACTAGATGCCCAGGGGTCAGGGGAGCATTTGTTCTTTGAAAATGCAAATTTGATATTTCAAAATAAATTTACATTTGGAGAGGGCAGAACCTTTCTGCCAAGGGTATTGAAATCTTCAAAAAAAACTCAAGACAGTGATTCTGTGGTCCATCCCCTCCCCCACCTTTTTTTCTGAGACAGCCTCACTCTGTCACCCAGGCTGGAGTACAGTCCCAGCTCACTGCAACCTCTGCCTCCCAAGGTTAAGCGATTCTCCTGCCTCAGTCTCCTGAGTAGCTGGGATTACAGGCGGGTGCTACCATACCCGGATAATTTTTGTATTTTTAGTAGAGATGGGGTTTCACCATGTTGGGCAGGCTGGCCTCTAACTTCTGGCCTCAAGTGATCCTCCTGCCTTGGCCTCCCAAAGTGCTGGGATTACAGGTGTGAATCACCGAGCCCAGCCCATATTTCCCTTTTGAATTTGGCTCCCAGGAAGCTTGACACGAACTTTTTCAAAACGGATCTCTTTTTAAAATTTGCAGCTTTTGATGATGATCTGAATTTAATTGTATTAGTACTACTGTGTGTGAAGCAAATTCTCAACAATTCCATCAATCCAGGCCTCAGCTAGAGACACGTTTTTGAACGGAGAACTCTCCTAGCAAACCCCAAAGCAGCACCCTCCGCCCTCCCCCGCGGCTGCTGTGAACTTGCCTCCCGAGGGATGTAGGCTATGCTTCATTTCACAGAGTCAAATTATAACCAGCCCGCAGCCAACACTGCACTCCCGGGAGGCTGGAAGGGAATCGCCTCTGTGGAGATCTCAGCACAGCAGGCAAGGCTGGGGGGAAGGAGGCGCTGGGCACAGGCGGTGAAATTAATTGCAGGCAGGAGGCTGATTCTGGAAATCAGTGGAAACCCCTCCTTTGTCTGGGGACACCCCAGCGACCACGGTGCTCAGAGCAGGCTTCTGCAGCAGGTGCCTGGCAGCGGCAGGTACCTGTGTGCCATCTCATGCCAGGCAGGGCCACCCCGGCTGGGAAGGGTGACCTGGTTGCCTCCTCCTTGCTGATACCTGGCCCCACACCTGCAAACCCCTCACACTCCAGCTGGCATTTGTTTTTCCACACTAACAACCTCCTGCTTCCTAATTCGAGAAGCATCTATTGAGCCCCAACTGCATACACACCTGGCCTGACAGACTCCTGGCAGCAAGTGAAGCAGTGAACCTGAAGGACCCTGACCTCGGGAGCCCGGAGCTCAGTGCTTTTCTCTGGGTTGCCCCCAAAGAGGTCCCGAGCGGCCTGGAACTAACAAAGGGGAGCAGAGGAAGTGGACCTGAAGGAGACCTGGAAGGCTTCCTGGAGGAGGTGGGCTAGAACTGGGCAAAAGCAGCAGTGGCATTAGCTGGGAAAGCAGGAGCAGCACATAGGGTGGAGGAAACAGCCAGTGCAAAGGCTTGGTGGCACGAGAGCCCCAGAAACTTCTGTCCCTGCTCCCTCCTCACATTTATCCATAATGGGTCACTGCAGCTGCTGCTACTCTGGGTCCCTGTCTGTCAGGCCCTGTTCCTGGGCACTGCAGAGACCACGCCCCCAACTCAGACCCCCCCCATCCAGCACACCCCCCACTTGGCACATCCCCCCAGTACCCCCAGCATCCCCCCGAGCACCCCCAATTCAGCATGCCCCACTCAGCACCCCTCACTCAGTACCCCCACTCAGCACCCAACTCAGTACCCCCAGCACCCCCCAGAGCACCCCCAGTTCAGCATGCCCCACTCAGCACCCCCCACTCAGCACCCCCCACTCAGCACTCCTCACTCAGTATGCCCACTCAGCACCCAACTCGGTACCCCCAGCACCCCCCACTCAGCAACCCACACTTAGCACCCCCTCACTTAGCATGCCCATCCACTCAGCACCCACCCCACTCAGCACCCCCTCCTCAGTGCCCCCCCACTCAGTGCCCACTTACTTCGGAGGCCCTGGGACAGGTGTGTACTGCTGCCCACTGACATGGGCAGGGAGCATTTCTGGCACATGCATTCCTTCCCATTGAAGGTCACTCGGTCCCCAGGGGGGAAGGGCAGCCTGAAACAAGAGAGCTCATTACCAGCCAGGCCCACCTCCAGCTCCTCTCTGGGAGAGCCCTGCCCCAGAGCAGGCAACCGGGGCCAATGTCTCCCCAGGACCTCTCAGAGGTACCACTCACAGGCTGAGGATGCAGGGCCTCTCCACCCAGGCACTGCCATGTCCTCACAACAGGGACTCAGGTAGTTACTGACATCTGAGCCTCAGTTTTCTCATCTCTACCAACAGGCAGAATCATTGCGCCTAAGACGGCGGTGAGGACCAGCCAAGGGCCAGCCCCGTGCCTGGCACACAGCAACATGCCAGGCTTCCTGGACCACCAGCCCCTCCAGCCCACCCCTTCTCGGCCACATGGGATGCGTTCTCCATATCAGCTCAGCACCAAGGGCAGCAGATATGCCAACTGGGCATCTCCTGTGTGCCCGGGGCCAGCTATTGTGACAGGTGCCCTATGGGCATGCCTCATCAATAACCCCATGCCACTCAACTTAGTGTTTGCTTCATGTTTCCTCTATAGGGGAGAAACTGGAGCTCAGAGAGGATATGTAATTTTTCCTAGGATAACGTGGATACAGGTCAGAACCAGAATCAAACCAAGACCTGCCTGGCTTCAAAGCTCCACGATTTAGCTGCTTGGGCCTCCTAAGAGGGCAGTGTCTTTAAAAGCACACCTTGTAGACAGGACGATGCTATACAGTTGGACCCTGTCTTTATTTAAAATTCTGGCGTTTTGCTCTAAATGAGTTGTTTGCATTTATTTCCGTTTTTAAAAGTACTGCATTAAAATAGGATTCGCTTGACTACTGAGCTTTTTGACACCATTTTAGTCTGTATCGGCAGCGAGTGCCTGGAGCGAGGAAGGGTGAGGGACGGCAGAGCCGGCCCATCCTCCTGCAGCCCCAAGGATGTCTTTGGAGACTGAGGGGTGGCTCAGGTGGCTGCATCTAGCAAGCTAAGGCCAGGCCACCAGCAGACGGGGCCAGAAGCACAGCCTGAAAATGCTGCCGTGTCTGCCCTCGACAGCTGCTACCACCAAGCTCCCAGCAGCCGCTTCCTTTCCCCAGCTGAGCCTGGCCAGAGAACGAGGTGCTTTAAAGGCAGAAGGCTGTCAAAGTGTCAGTCCGCAGGTGCCCTTTAAAGCCCCTTCTTGGCCAGGCACTGTGGCTCACACTTGTAATCCCAGCACTTTGGGAGGCCAAGGTGGGAGGGTCACTTGAGGTCAGGAGTTTGAGACCAACCTGGCCAATGTGGTGAAACCCTGTCTCTACTAAAAACACAAACATTAGCCAGGCGGGGTCTCAGCTACTCAGGAGGCTGAGCCAGGAGAATCACTTGAACCCGGGAGGCAGAGGTTGCAGCGAGCAGAGATTGCATCACTGCACTCCAGCCTGGGTGACAGAGTGAGATTCCATATCAAAAAAAAAAAAAAAAAAGAAAAGCCCCTGCTCAAACACCTTCGTTGGGCTCCATCTGTCTTCTTCAGGGAGGGGACCGTGAATTCATGGTTGAATGAATGAATGAGTGAATAAGTGAAGGACTGAAGCTCCCCTAGGAAGCCACACTTGGCCTGCTCTCTCCTGCTGAGATCCTGACTGGCCTCTCACTGGGGCCTTCTCCCTGAAGCTGAGACCACTGTGCCTTGCCCTGCTGAAGGCCTGCCAGAGCTCCCACCTATGTGGCTGGCATTCAGTGCCCTTGGTGCATGCAGCAGGCATGTTCCTGTGCTCCCACGGGGCCAGTGCCTGCTCCTGGGGACCCAGGACAAATACAGGCTGAGCTAGGCCCAGGGCCCTCTCCTCCCATCCACTGCCCGGGAGCCTGTGCGGCTCTTCCACGCCCGTGTTGCCACCTGTGTGAGTGCTGTGGTCTGCTGTCCCCTGTCTCCGCGCCTCGCAGCCTCCCTGTCATGGGGATCTTGTGTGGGAGTCCCTCCCCATCCCCGGATGTGCTTGGAGCAAACCTCCGTCTGTGTAACCCAGAGCAAGTTGACTCAGCCTCTCAGAGATGCTTCTCCCCTATAAAACAGGACCGAGAACACCTCTGTCCCAGGGCTGTATGCGCACATTCCTTCACCCAAGGGCATCCCGCCTGCTGTGGCCTATTGCCTGGGTTCAAGACCTGGGAGGGCTGACTCAAGGGCAGCTATGCTTTTATTTCCTCAACGTTATTGAGGTGCATTGTGACAAATGTGTACACCCATGTAACTGCCACCACCACAGTCATGATGCGTAACATTCCGGCCACTGCGGAAAGCCCCCTGTGGCTGTGTACAATCACACTGTGCACTACCTCTGGCCCCAGGCACCATGATCATCACTGTCCCATGGCCCCTGGCACTGATTGTCACCGTCACCATGGATTAGATTCGTCTTTCTTTGAGGAATCACAGAACACGCTGTCTTTGCTGTTGGGTCAGTGTCGCGGTCTTGAGATTCACCCATGCTCTTGTCCCTATTGATCCTTTGTTCCTTTCAGGACTGAGTGTTCCACCCCACGGATAAACCACGGTGGGAATTCCATGACACTGCTGGGGACTTTTGGGCTGTTTCCAGTGTGGGGCTGGTACAAATAAAGCTGTTAAGCACAGTTGCCAACAAGCCTCTCCGCGGACACATGCTTTCCTTTCTTTCGGGTGAATACGTAAGACGGGTTTTCTGATCACAGGCCAAGTGTGTATTTCACTTTATCAGAAATGGCCAGACTGGTTTCCACGGCAGCTGTGGGAACCGTGCCGCATTCACCACGGCACCGGAGGGACGGTCCTCTGGCCTCACAGCCTCACCAGCACTTGCCACGCTCCACCTTTTAGTCTTAGTTGCTCCCACGGAGGTAAAATGTCATTTCTTTGTGGTTTTCATTTGCACACCCCTGTGACTAATGACGGTAAGCACTGTTTCACGCGTGCTGTCGGTCATTTGTACATATATATATATTTTAGATGGAGTCTTGCTGGAGTGAAGTCAAATGATCTGGACTCACCACAACCTCCACCTCCCGGGTTCAAGTGATCCTCCTGCCTCAGCCTCCCGAGTAGCTGGGATTACAGGCACCCACTGCCACACCTGGCTAATTTTTGTATTTTTAGTAGAGATGGGGTTTTGCCACATTGGCCAGGCTGGTCTTGAACCCCTGACCCCAAGTGATCTGCCTGCCTCAGCCTCCCAAAGTGCTAGGATTCAGGTGTGAGCCATTGCCCAGCGTCTTTTGTCCATTTTTAACAGTAATTTTGGCCTTCTTCTTATTGAGTTGTAAATAGTAAGTATTTTGTATAGCAGCGCCTCATCGGACACGGGCATTCTCCACCAGCTGACGGCTTGCTTTTGCGGCTTCTCATTTCGCGTCTCCTTCAGCCCACAAAACTTCCTGTAAGTTTATTTTGGTGCAGGTTGGCTGGCAACAAATTTATTCAGAGTTGTGCACTGACACTATAATTAATTTTGGAACAATCTTGTCCCTCGCAAAAGGAATCCCTTACCCTTTAGCAGTCTGGCCTTCGTTTCTGGAGCTTTTTGTGCTCAGTATAAAATCATTTGATGGGTGTTTTTCTTTCAGCATTTAAGAAGTGTGGTTCTACCGTTTTCTAGCATACATAGTTTCTGATGAGAAGTCTGGAGCCATACGTTTGTTCCTCTGTAAATAATTTGTTTTCCTCTGGCAGCTTTTAAGATTTCTTTCCAGCACTGGTTTTCCGCAATCTGATGATGACAGAGTTGGTATATTTTGATGTGTTTATTCTGTTGGAAGTTCATTGAAATTCTTGGATCCATGCGTTTACAGTTTGCACCCACTTTGCAAAATGTTCAGCTACGACTTCTTTAAATACTTCTTGGTCTTCCCCATCCACCCAGATAGAGAACTAGATCTCACTCACAGATCACTGAGCTGCTTTTCGTGTTTTGCAGTCTTTTTTTTCTCTGCTTAAGTTCGAATTCTTCCTCTTGCTGCGCCTTCAAGTTTACTGACATTTTCTTTGGAAATACCCAATCTCCTGCTAATTCCTTTCAGGAGATTTTCCACTTCAGCCATTGTATTTTTCATTTCTGCAGGCATACCAGTGGTTTCTTTTTATATTTTCCATAACTCTCCTATTTATGTTCATGTTTCCTTAAAATACTTAAACATATTTCCAGTAGCTATTTTAAAGTCATTATCTGCTCATTTCACCATTCCTGTCATTTTTGGGCCTATTGCTACTGACTTTTCTTCTGGTGTGGGGTCACATTTTCTAGTTTCCTTTTATTAGGTTGCTGCTTTTACTATTATTTTTTTTTTTTTTTTTTTTTTTTTTGAGATGGAGTCTTACTCGGTCGCCCAGGCTGCAATGCAGTGGCCTGATGTTGGCTCACTGCAATATCTGCCTTCCAGGTTCAAGTAATTCTCCTGCCTCAGTCTCCCAAGTAGCTGGGACTACAGGTGTGTGCCACCACACCCAGCTAATTTTTGTATTTTTAGTAGAGATGGGGTTTCACCATGTTGGTCAGGCTAGTCTTGAACTCCTGGCCTCAAGCAATTCACCCACCTCAGGCTCCCAAAGTGCTGGGATTACAGGTGTGAGTCACTATGCCCAGCCCTTTACTATTACTTTTAATGACAAAATTCACAGTTACTTTGGCAATAACCAATACCTAGTAATTTCTCTTTCCTTTCTTCCTTTTCTTTCTCTCTCTTTCTTCCTTTTCTTCCTCTCTCTTTCTTTTCTTCCTCTCTCTTTCTTTTCTTTCTCTCTTTCTTTTTTTTCAGGATCTTGCTCTGTTACCCAGCCTGGAGAACACTGATGCAATCATAGCTCACTGCAACCTCAAAACCCTGGGCTCAAGCAATCCTTTCAACTCAGCCTCTCAGGTGCCTGGGACTACAGGCATGCGCCACCATGCCAGGCTAAGTTTTACATTTTTTGTACAGACAGGGTCATGCTATGTCATGCAGGCTGATCTTGAACTCCCAGCCTCAAGTGATCCACTCATCTCGGCCTCCCAAAGTGGATGGATTACAGGCATGAGCTGCCATGCCCAGCCGTCACTAGCGATGAAATGTTATGTTGTTGCATGCTGGATTTTTAAAATCTTCTTGTGAAAAGTCTTGGACTTTGCTCTGGCAGGCAGTTTATTTGCAGATCAGTATGACTTAAAAAAAATCAATTTAAACAATAGAGATGGGGTCTCTTTATGTTCCCCAAGCTGGCCCCAATCCTGGTCTCAAGTGATCCTCCTACCTGGGCCTCCCAAGGTGCTGGATTATGGGTGTCAGCCTCCGTGCCCAGCCGGCATGATCTCTCTGAGGATCGGGCTGTACTTTGGTAGAGCAGGTTCACTGTAGCCCTCACTCCAGGGCTGTTTTGTCCTCTGGATAAGGCCTGTCTCTTTGGTGTCCATACTGCATGCCCTGGCATTCAACAAGGAACCTCTGCCCTGGACAGGACTCAGCTGTTTCCCAAATCCAGGAATTGTTTCGCTTGCAGCAACCTGGTCATTCTCTGCCCCACTGTGTGAAATTCCTCTATGACTACAGGGCTTCATATGTGGTCAAAGACTCCCAGGCCCTGTGTAGATGGGTGCTCTCGCTCTGCCGTGCCCCCACCCCTCTGGGATTCTGCCCACCATGCCCCAGCTGCGCCTTCCTCTCTGGTCACTGTCTCCTGACTCAGGACGATGCCACAGTCTCCTTGGGTCTCGCCCCCAACGCCATGCTATCCTTCCAGAACTGCCTCCAGGAAGGAAGCTGGGCGATCACGGGCCTCGCCTCACTGTTTCCTCCTCTCAGTTCTGAGCTCCAGGTCCTGGAAACTTACGTTGTTTTGTACGTTTTGTCCAGTTTCCTAGTTGTTGACGGTGGCCGGACAAGTCCAGTCCCAGTGACTCCAGCACGACCAGGGTTGTCTGTTATTATGTGTAAAATAATAGAGCAACCAGAGGCGATCTCACAGCAACTGTGAGATGGTAACCCTCATCTCTAAGCTACGTACACAGAAAGCAAACAGGCGGATAATCCCTGGGAGAGGGCTGACCCAGGTCATGCCACGATGACACACTCCCTAGGGTGTCTCTCTCTGGAAATACTCCTTGTCACGGCCCCCTCCTGTCCTTCGCATCCTCTGACAAAGGTTCCATTTCTGTCTGGGGCACACGCTGTAACCACAGGGAGCTGCTTTGGAAACAACGTTGAAAACGCCCCTGCAAGCTGGGTGTGGCGAGGCAGGGAGTGCAGGGCAGAAAACACGCGCTTTCATGTTTTCATTCTTTGTTTTCTGGAAACAGAACATTTCCTGTGGGAGGAACGAGTCGGGGGCTGCGGAGGGAAGCGGGAGGCAGGGACCGCGTGGGAAGGCTGCGTGGGAAGGCTGCCAGTGGACCTCCCTGCCCAGCCCAGGACGCACGGGCTTGCTATGTCACACAGGCTGGTCTTGAACCGGCCTCGACCCCATCTCCGCAGCCAGCCCTCGCTGCACGCTTGCTCGGTGCCAGGCAGCAGACCCAGAGAGGAGCGGCCCAGCCTGCCCTGGCGGAGCTCCCTGTGAGGAGGGTGCAGACTGCGGGGGCCCGGGTGGGGGGGGGTGCGGTCACAGGAGGGGGCGGGAAGGTGAAAGGCCCGGGACTCACCGGCACACGGCGCACACGAAGCAGTCGGGGTGGTAGGTCTTGCCCAGCGCCGACACCACCTCGCCCTCGATGAACTGGTCGCAGCTGAAGCAGCGGGTGCCGTAGAGCCTCTGGTAGTCCAGCGTGCAGATGTACTCGCCCTGCCGCACGAAGAAGCCGCCCTCCGCCAGGTCGCAGCCACATGCTGGGGAGGACGGGCGGGGCCGCGTCAGAGGCAGAGGGGACCGTCTCCGTGTCCCCACCCAGGCCCCAGGTGGACACCCCTCCACGAGCATACCACCACCTGACACGGGCCCCGAGCCCTCGGCACACGCTCGGGGCAGCTTCGCCACTCGCTCGGGGCAGCCCTCGGCACACGCTCGGGGCAGCTTCGGCACACGCTCGGGGCAGCTTCGGCACATGCTCGGGGCAGCTTCGGCACACGCTCGGGACAGCTCTCCGCACACGCTCGGGGCAGCTTCGGCACACGCTCGGGACAGCTCTCCGCACACGCTCGGGGCAGCTTCGGCACACGCTCGGGACAGCTCTCCGCACACGCTCGGGGCAGCTTCGGCACACGCTCGGGGCAGCTTCGGCACACGCTCGGGGCACCCCTCGGCACACGCTCGGGGCAGCTTCGGCACATGCTCGGGGCAGCCCTCGGCACACGCTCGGGGCAGCTCTCCGCACACGCTCGGGACAGCGGTCCGCTCACGCTCGGGGCAGCTTCGCCACTCGCTCGGGGCAGCTTCGGCACACGCTCGGGACAGCTTCGGCACACGCTCGGGGCAGCCCTCGGCACACACTCGGGGCAGCTTCGGCACACGCTCGGGACAGCTTCGGCACACGCTCGGGGCAGCCCTCGGCACACACTCGGGGCAGCTTCGGCACACGCTCGGGGCAGCCCTCGGCACACGCTCGGGAAAGCTTCGGCACACGCTCGGGGCAGCCCTCGGCACACGCTCGGGACAGCTTCGGCACACGCTCGGGGCAGCCCTCGGCACACGCTCGGGGCAGCTTCGGCACACGCTCGGGGCAGCTTCGGCACACGCTCGGGGCAGCTTCGGCACACGCTCGGGGCAGCTCGCTCGACTCTAGGGGGCCGGGCTCCTGGGACAGGCTCCAGCTCTGGTCCCTGGCCTGGCGTTGAGTGGACTTTACTAACAGAAGCTGGGAAAAGGGCGTGGACCGGGACAAGAGCCAGGCTCCCCCGAGGGGCTGCCCAACCCCCCACCCTCACTAGGGGTCCCCCAGCCTCCATGACCCCGCCAGGGATGGCCCCTGAGCCCTTCCTGTCCTCAGTGGGCTGTTTCCAGCACCGGGCATCCAGATCAGGAAGGGGCTAACGCCTGGTCACCTACTGTGTGCTAGACTCTGTGCTGGGGGCTGAAGGTCCCTGGGGGGACGGATCAGATCCTTGCGGTCAGTCCCTCCAGTCCACCCCGAGGCTTCCCGGCCCCTCCCCCGCTCCTCTGTGTCTCCACGTCCCCATGGCCCTCGACGCCTGTCTCCCACAGCATGGACGAGGCCAGACCCCACAGGAGGGGGCCTGTGGATTCCTGAAAGGGAAGCTCTTCGTCTCTTTTCCCAACAGACACCCGCCCCAGGACGCTGAAGCCCGGAGCTCCGCAGAGGGGCGAGTGACCTCTGCCAGGTGGGGAAGGGAACACTCCCCCTCAGGACAACCTGCCGGTCACCACCAGCTCAGAGGCCCCCAATCTGCGTCCTGAGACACGAGTGCATTCCTCCCATAAACTCCCCTCCAGCGCCAGGGCAACGTGGGAGCCACGCATGGTTTCAGAGGGAGCGGCCCACAGCCTCCCCCAACCCGGCTGGCCCAGGCCCTCCCTGCTGGAGCCACAGAAGCAGCCCCTGCCGCCCCAGCCCCACTGGCCTGGTCAGTGCTGGGTCCTGCCTGCTGGGTCGATGCAGCTCCCAGCCACCGAGGAGGGGCATTGAGAAACCATGTTGCCCTCATCGATTTAAAGCTGACATCTAAGTTTCCAAAAGTTACAAAATGCTTTTTCTGCGTTTTGTAAATATGGGCACCTTTAACGTTTGGAGGGCATCCAGTGGGAAATCGAGGCCAAAGCAAGACCCTCAGTATCTGCCTAAAAAACACCTGATGGCACTCTAGGAGCAAACCACCTGGAAGCACCAGGGTGGCTGGAAAGTTCTCATTCTGGCATTTGTTGTCTCCATTTCTCCAAAGAGAAGTTCACTCTTCTGATACGGTGGGACATAAACTGAGCAGCTTAGATTCCAGACGCCGGAGCTGCCCGGGGTTCGAATCCCAGCTCCACCCACATAGTGTGCTGTGTGTCCCTGGGCAAGCTCCTTAACCTCTCTGGGTTAAGGATAGGTCTCCTTGTCCTCATCTAGAACACTGAACCTATTTCAGAGCGACACACGGCAGCACAGAGAGCATCCTGTGAGCCAGTGCGACGTGAGACCTGAGTCCTGCCTGGCCCAGCATCGAGGCCCTGGCTGCTGCTGTAGGGGCCGGAGATGCTGACTCTGAATTTCGTCTCAGTGTGCGAATGAAAACCCAGAATGAAACCCAGTCTGTGCGGTCTGGGAGGGACGAGGGCAAGGTGTAAGATGCCTGCACTCACTCCTCCCAGGTTTATGAGAAACAGCGTTTATGAGAAACAGCCAAGGGCTCCCAGCATCAAAGGGAAGCTCCAGACAGGTGGGCCTCAGCCTCAGCCTCGGGCCACGGCACCCTTGCTCTGCACGCACGTTCTGGCTCCTGAAAACCCAGAATGAAATCCGGGCTGAGGGTGAAAACGCTTTGTCTGATCTTGCACCATAGGGTGGACCAAGCGAATGCATCCCGACTGGGGAGGAGCAGAGACTCTGGGGCCTCACTTTGGAGAGTTCTAGTATTCTGGTATCAACACCGCCTGCACCGAGGCAGCAGCTGGGCGGCGATTGGGCTCACGGCACTCATGGCTCTCACTGCTCTGCATTCGTCTATTTCTCTATTCTTCATAAAGATGAGACGGCGTGGGCTGTTGCTTGAAGGAGAAACAGGGGCAGTGGCTCTGGTGCCCCACTCCAGCGCCATGAGGCCACTCCCAGGAGCACCAGGCAAGTGAGCATGTCCAGCCCCAGCCGTTACCTGGGAGGTTGCTGGTCAGATTCTAGCTGTCCTGAGTATTCCAAGGTCACCGCAAGGCGGTTAGATCCCAGACCTCTGTCTGCTAAAAATAAAACGTTCAAGTCCCCTGGTCATTTTAGAAATCTTTCTGGACACAACACATTGTCCTTATATTGCATTTTGCAATTTATCAAATTAGCACAGACACTGGGGGGAGGCAGGGCAGGTGGGGGATGGGAGCACCATCCTTCAGGCACACGCTCGGTCATTTACGAGAAACAGGCAGGAGACGGTGGCGGGCAGGTGGGGAGAAATGTGAATCAGCACTGCTTTCTGGAATACCATTTGGCACTGACACTAAGGAATGTGAACACTGTCGCTGCCCTTTGACCCAGCAGTCCCTCTCCTGGGATCCGTCCCAAGGAAATGACCATGACTGCCACAGTTCCCTGCATTATGGGGACAATAAAATGTCATAGATGTCACAAATAGATGCCTGGGCTGTAGTGTCAGGCAGCCTGAGCTTGAGTCCTGGCTCCTACCATTTCCCAGCTGTGTGACCTTGGCATAGTTTCTTGCCCTCTCTGAACCTCAGAGTCCTCATGTGTAGAATAGAGTTAGCAATACCAGTCTTTCATGGTGGCTGTGAGAAGCCAATGAGATGAGGTCTGAAAAGCTGATTAGCCCAGCGTCTGGCTGGAAATGATGTCAGCACCCACCAGTGCAACAGTGGGGTGTGCGCTTGAAGGAATTTGGGAGGGTATTGACATGCGTGTTGAAGAATGCGTACAGTCAGGAAAGTGCCCACATGCTAACTGAAGTGAACGAATCAGGCGTACGGCACCTTCAAATGTAAAGAGACTCAGACAAAGGGAAGACCAGGAGGAATATACACCCAGATCCAAACAGCAACCACCCAGGGTGCGGTCCACCGCTGCTCTCTATTTCTCCATATCGGTGAGTGGAAGGAGATGCCGAATCACATCAAAACACACAGAAAACAGAGAACCCCGAGGGCGTGAGTGAGCCTTAACCTGGACGAGGGCTCCAGGGCTGGCCGGTCATCACAGTGCTGAGACTTGGCCCAGCCTGGTTGAGGGGCCCCTTCCGTGAACAACAGGGCGGATGTCATCTGAGATTCCTCCTGCCGGGACTTTCACAATCCCGCCATGTGATCCTGACACTCCTGGCGCCCTGCGAGTCTCAGGCTGTGCGGAACAAGGAGTGCCCGAGGCCGGGGCCGGGGCCGAGGCCCACCTGTCTGGAGCTTCCCTTTGAGGCTAGAGGCCCATGGCTGTTTCTCATAAACGCCTGGAATGCTCCGGAAGCGCGTGTGCAGGCATCTCACACCACTCCTTCATTCCTCCCAGCCTGCCCAGAACAGGTGGCTATTTATAGTCCCAGATGGAAGTGTCCGCAGGGACAATGCCCCTGCCTTACCCGTGCGGCTCATGGCTCTCCTCCCGGATACGCGTCCTTCCCTCCCTGCCTATTTTCTTGGCTCCTGCTAAGACTGTGGACTTGCTCAGTTCTGCTTCCAAAAGGACCAGAAGATACCTGCCTTCCCGAAGGTACATGTGGGTATGGCTTCATCTTTTCACTGCTGCAGTGTCCCCGGGCATTCCGAGGAGGGGGACGACAGACCAGTGAAAACAACGTATTCCCAAAGCACAGAACTCAGCCACCCTTCCAAGGCCGGGTGAACCAGATTCGTTTCTCCAGGCACTCTGTGCTACGGTTTGACGTATTCATGTTCAACGTGTATTTGCATTTGTAGGGTAAGGACAGGGCCAGCTGGATCTCAAAGTCATCCCTCATCCCAGCCACTGTCAGCTGCAGCCTGGGCACCTGCACCTGCCTCTGGCCTCCTTCTGACTCCTGACCTGGCCTCCCTCACCAATGAGCGCCCAGCGATCCATGGAAACCTATAAGGATGGAGCAGGAACCTCTTCTGCGCTTCCTCGCTGGCGTCAAAGCCATGGTAGAGGCTCACCCTTCCTTATCCCCTTTGTCATTCTGCTCCAGCTGTCCCCGAACCTGCCTGCTTTAGGCTCTGCACTGGCTGTTCCTCTGGTGGGAACGCTCTTCCCTCACACGAGTGAATGACTGACTCCCTCACCTCTTTCCACGCTTTGCTCAAAGATCACCTCCTCTGTGAGGCCCACCCTGACCACCCAGTTTGCATCTTTCCTTCCCTAGCAGGGACCGCTTTCTAGCACATGATGAAATTTGCGTCTTTATCGTGTTATCATCTGTCTCCTTGCATTAGAACTGGTCCCCGTGAGGACAGGGTGTCTGTTTTGTTCATGGCTACCTCCCAAACACCCTGAACAGTGCCTAGCACACAGTAGGTGCTCAATAATAAATAGTTGTCAAATGACTTTTACTTAGAAAACCTGGGTTGAGACACCTGCCTACGATCCACATGAGCTGTGGTGACAGAGGTGGAATTTGAATCCCCAACCCTGGGGCAGCCATGCACAAGAGGATAATCATATGATTTTTTTCACAGATTTTCCCTGGTAAACTGAGGCACAAGTAAGTGCCTGGGTAGTGGGAACCCAACACAGTGGGACCTCTCAAATCAGAACTGGGTTGTGACACAATCGTCTTCCCTGATAACAGACCGTGCTTTGGCTCACCTGGTGACGTGCCTACCGAGGGTGGCCATGGCTGGGCTCAGTCAGTCACGCCCCTCCTGTCCCTCTTTGTCAGTGGGGGTGAATGTTTGACAGAGTTCTGGCCAGTGAGTCATATGAGGAGTCTTTGGTGGACTTCAGGGAAAGGGCTCTCCTCCCTACTGAGAGGGAGGGTTACGCAAGCAGAGGGCCTTTTTGCCTGCGCACATCTCCAGGCTGGATGCCATGCTGTGAGTGTGATGTTGGAGCAGCGGCAGCCATCTGAGACCATGAGGAGAGGCACTGCTGGCATGCACAGGGTGCAGTGTGGGAGAGGGAGCGTCTGGGCATCTGTGATGACCCCGGTGAGTTGTTTAATTAGCCAGCCCTGGGGTAGGGGTGTGTCTACCTCCAGACTTCGTGTTAAGATGATAAATGTCCATGACGGATATTTATGAGTTGGGTCTTCTTTTCATTCATCCCAAAGTACCCTCAGTGATTCATAAGCGGCGTTCTCAGGAGAGCCTGGAGAGATTAACCCAAGACGGTGTGGTCCTTACGTTAAACGAGCGCCGCTCATTTGAAAGCGTGAGGGAAATCTTAGTTACTCTGTGCTATTCTCCAGCAGGAGAAGCACAGGGCCCCGCACCGAAGGCAGAGCTTTCCTAGGGGAAGGGGTGGCCACTGCCCTGGCTGCTGTATCTGCAGAGCCAACAGGCCTGCCACAGGTGCCTGGCACAGAGTGAGACCCTGACTGGCTGTGGGTGTATGTGCTGGATCTTGGCACTGGGCCTGCCCTCAGACCCCTGCCACTGCCGGAGCCCACGGTCATTAATCATCTCGGTGATGGAGTGCATGTCCCCAGCCCTGGGCCAGCCTGCCATTGACACTGCCTCATCCCACCGCCTGTAGCTGCAGAGGAAGAGGTTAGGGTTATTCCCACATCCATTGGAGGAGACAGGGGAGGGGGACCCAGGACAGCCCCCACCACCCATGAAGCCCCTGGGTCACAGGAGGTAATGAACTTGACTCTGGGATCTGATGCATGCCCAAGGTCTGTGCTTACAGAAATCCTTTCAAATAAAGTGTAAGCTTCCCCTTTGTCTTTTAAAATAGGCTTTTAAAAAGAGCCCTCTAATGGATTTTGCTTTTCAGAAATGTGGCAAATGTATTTTTATGGAGAAAAAATTAGACCAGACAAATCCCACGATGCCCTGGAAAGCCCTAATGAAAAGCATGAAATCCACCAGCTGTAGGGAGGGAAAGGCCAGGGCAGTGGCCACCCCTTCTCCCAGGGGAGCTGGGGGGGATCCTGAGGCTCCGGAAGGCAGACTACCTGCTCATTTACATTAATGCGTGAGGCTGAAGGCCAGCCACGCTCACACCCACAGCTCGTCACCCACTCCCAGAAAACAAATCCTTCCCCGCATGTGCCAGAGAGTGTGTTGTTCATGTCATCATTCTTCCAAAGCAGTCCGCAGAGCTGCTGTGCTGGGGGTGTCCCTGGGTCCCCCCACATGAGGACTCGGCTTCCTGCTGCCTTTGTCAGGGAAGTGGTAATGGGGTACCCGGGACATCAGGGTGCCATGGGGACAGTTCGCTGTGGGCCAATCCAGGCTGTAGATATACAGGGGACCCCTGGAGCCAGGTGATTCTTGGGGCATCACGTGGTCCCAGTGATGTCCCTAATAGTCACCCACATCTTTGGACGGAGAGTCTCAGCATCTCTGAAGGGTGGGGCTGAGATCTGCCTCAGTCCAAGGGATCCAGGGCACTCCCACTCCTGTCCCCTTGGGGGTCCCAGGGCCAGTGGAGAGCTGGCTGGGCTCAGCAGCTTCCCTGAGTCACTGACCCCCTGCAGGGCCCCATGGGCCTCGCTGTGGACTCTGGCCTTCTCCAGGGCCAGCGGCATCAGGCCGCTTCTCGGATGTTCCCCTTTTAGCAGCGGGACAGTCAAGGCTGGTGGTTTTCAAGTTTCCTTTCCAAGCAACAGGACTCTGCACAAACAGTCTTTCCACAGCGCCTGCACACATAAACTGAACAAGTGGACGATGGCCGCGCTCCGGTGGGCAGGGCTGGAGACACCGCCCGCTGCCCTCCTGCTCCCCCCACACCTGGGTGTCCCTCAAGGTGCCTCCACAGAAACCTAGGGAAGACCCTGGCCCAGGAGCTGCAGACAGGCCCAGGCAACCTCCCAGCACCTCCAGACCTCAGTGTCCCCTTCTCTGAGACACAGTCACATGTCCCCGCAGGGCTGCTTGCGCCAGGAGGATTGCCCTGTGTCGGGAGTGGCCTTGCTTCTGGCAGGCAGATTCCCACTGTCTGGAGGTTCCAGCCAGCACAGCACCTCCCCTGCGAAGTCCTCTCTGGCATCTTCTAAATCCTTCCCGCTGGACACTCCTACACACACACATGTGCTTGGTTTTCACTATAAAAAGTCATCTTTTCAAATTGCATCGTGCACCTTACCCATCATCTCCCTCACCAGACAGTGACAGTGAACAAGCGAAAGCTTGCGCCTTCTTGGTCTTTAGAACTTTCCAGAGCCTGGCACACAGCAGGGCCTCCTAGACCCTTTGTGGAGCAGATGCGTGCAGCCCACAACCATTGGACAGGGCCGCCAGACGTCTGACGAAAATCGTTTCGCTGCATTATCTGCTGTAGCACATTTCCTAATTTTCTTTGCCCAGAAAAAAGCAAGCCGTCAGCGCACTGGGGTTCACCGAGGGTCGTACGGCTTAGGGATTGTGAATCTCCAAATGTCCCGGGGGCTGTCATAGCAAACCTGCAGAAGGCAGGCATGGACGGGGCCGACCACCGCAGCAGGGATTTGCAGTGTTCTGAATGTAATTCCTTAAAGACTGCAAAGTCCTCGGGTCAACAGCCATCGAAGCGCTTCGATTTGCACACCCCTTCCCCCAGTGCTATTTTTAATCTGTTTTTAGAAAATTAGCAAAGGCACATGTGCTATCTTTGTGCAGGAAGAGAGAGCAGGCTGGAGGGAGACTCTGGCACGGGCCATCTCGGCTGGCAGGGCCTCACGTGATTTTTTGGTCTTACTTTTCCTCATCTTTTCAGTATTATTGGATTTTAGTAGATCATTTACATTATGGTTTTACAATCATAGAGAAATAAATGGAAGTGATTTTCATCTGGAATAACGGTGATGTGCTCGGTGCTGCTTCGGGTGGGGGCGCCTGCGCGCCTGTGGTCCAGCAAAGGTCCTGTGCTCCCCCCACTGCTGAGTTCGTGCCACTGACCATGACCATTTACCTGTGTGGCTACGGTGCCCAAGTGGCCGCCTTGCTCTGGCCACAGGACCAGAATTCTCTGAGGCTGGGTGCGGCCACACGAGGACACCCCTGGGGACGTGGACCCTCATCCCCTGACCCTCCCCACACACACAAGTGACAAGGGCTATGTTGAAGAGATCATGCTGTCCTATGAAGACTCTGTCCCTGGAGTGTTCTCCAATATCCCAGGCCTAAGCGGAGCTTCCCAGGGACACTCTGAGGACCTGGGATTGCCGCTGGGAGGCCTGTTTCAGGGGCCAGGCTGCCGGGGGCGGGGCCAGGCTGCGGGGGCGGGGCCAGGCTGCGGGGTTGGGGGGCGGGGCCGCTCACCTTTGCAGACGAAGCACTTGATGTGGAAGTACTTGTTCTGCACCCGCAGCACCTCGCCCTTGCACACATTCCCGCACGTGTTGCACAAGATGGCCGTGCTGGGTGACTTCTCCAGGGGGCTGGGGGCAGCCTGGGGCTGCGACACTGTCAGGAGAGAGAGGAGAGCCGTGTTAAAGGGTGGATGTGGCCGGGCGCGGTGGCTCACGCCTGTGATCCCAGCCTCCTTTGGGAGGCCGAGACGGGCAGATCACAAGGTCAGGAGTTCGAGACATGGCCAACATGGTGAAACCCCGTCTCTACTAAAATTACCAAAATTAACCAGGCATGATGGCAGATGCCTATAATCCCAGCTACTCAGGAGGCTGAGGCAGGAGAATTGCTTGGGATGTGGAGGTTGCGGTGAGCCAAGATCTCAGCATTGTACTCCGGCCTGGGTGACAGAGCAAGACTGTCTTGAAAAAAAAAAAAGGGGGGGTAGATGTGTGAGGCACGAAGGTGAGCAGAGCAGGGTGTGAGGATGCAGAGCTGACCCTCCCAGCAGCCCACACCCACCAGCACAAGCCTGCAGAGCATCAGGGACAGTCTGTCATCTCCTTTTGCCTGGGGACCAGATTATGCAGAGGTGAGGGGCCAGAGGGCTAAGGCCATCTGGTCAACCCCTGGTGTGGGCTCCTGTCTACAGTAGCTCCACGCAGTGAGGGGCCCGGGCCCCATCCACACGCGCACCTGTGGCAATGAGGCCATCATCCTCCCCACCTGAAAGATGATCCAACCGCTGCTGCCTTCACCTGGGACAGCCTTACCCTCTGGGGTCTGGGGGCAAGGCACCCCTCTGTGAGCTCAGTAACCCTCAGCAGCAGGAACCAGCGCCCTCTCTTCTGCAAGTACAGCAGCCATGGTCCTCAGGGGAGCTCACAAATTTCCTCTGGGTCCTGGGACGTGGAGCTGAATGTTGCTGCCATTCCCTTAAGTCCCCCTTGAAGCCACCACAGTACAGGCTGTCTAAGGGGTAGCCGGATGGACAGGTCAGGATGGACGGTCATAGGGCCTGACTCTGGGGCTCCGGGGACCAGGCAGGGTGACACACCCCTCATCCCCACTTTCCCAAAGCATCCACAGAGACCAGCGCCCAGGAAAGGGGCCACGGCACAGAAGCCTCAGGCCTGCCCTTCAAGGGGCTCCCCGTGGCCATTAGGGGTGGCCAGGTGAGCAACAGTGGCCACCAGGTGGCTGGGTGGGCATTGCTTTGAGTCTTGAGGAGGAGTTGTTAGATGGAGGTGTGGGAGCTGGGCATGGAGCCCCGCCAGGCACAGAGCTGGCCACACAGGAGCTGGGCAGGACCCAGGCTGTGGGTCCTGGGGGGCTGGCGGAGAGGAGCAGCTGATACTTGGCAAGTGCTGGCCTGCGAATCAGCCTGGGGACCTGACAGCCTGGAGCCCAGGGCAGGCACAGGCGGCAGGCAGGAGGCTCTGTGGCCAGTGCTGTGCTCGGCAGAACAATGCCCCCAAGATGTCCCCATGCGAATCCCCGGAACCTGTGCATACACCTCTGACAGGAGCTTGCAGGTGTGAGTAAGTTAAGGGCTTTGATGGGATATGATCTGGACGGTCAGGCTGAGCCCAACATCATCACAGGGGCCTTAAAATCAGAACATTTTACGACTGTGGCCAGAGGGAGACGTGGCTGTGGAAGAAGGTCAGGGAGATGACACACTGCGGGCTTTGAAGTCGGAGGAAGGGGCCACAAGCCAAGGAATGTGTGTGCCTCCCCAAGCTAGAAAAGGCAAGGAGAGGATTCTCCTCAGTTCCCAGAAGGAACCAGCCCTTCTCATACCTCGATTTTAACCCAGCGAGACCTGGTGGCCCTGTGACCTCTGGAATTGTGAGCTAATAAACGTGTTGTGTTCAGTTTGTGGTCCCTTGTTACAGAAGCCAGGGAAGCTAATGCAGTGGTTGACCCATCAGACAGGCAGGGATGCAGAGGCCGAGGCACCGAGCCCCTCCCCTCTTCATCTGGGAGTGAGAGCCAGCGACAGCAAGCACTGTGCAGTGCAGCAGCCCAGGGCGGCTTTCATTTGGCCAGTGCTGTGCCCCGTGCCTTCTGCTCATGCCAATTCACTGCATCTCATTCAGAGACTAGATCTCATTCAGAGACTAGACACACGGACAACAGCTCAGCCCAGAGAAAGGCAGCGCTCAGACCACACCCGTAGCTGCCGGCCCAGGGAGCCGAGCCTGGCCTCGGCACCAGCTGGGAAGCCAGCTGTGTGGCAGACCTGCAGGGAGGACACTGCTCTCCCTCAACAGCCAGGAGGCCAAATTACAACTCGGTCCCACAGGGCCAGGACCTGACCCACAACTCACAGCTGTCCTCATTTGTGCCCCCGCTTTCTAGTTAGGCTCATTCAGAGAAAGCCAAGCACTCCCCTGACCAGTCACATGAGATGCCCCCCTTCCAGGCACCACCTGCAGTCCCCTCAGGCTGACAGCCTCCATGGGGGCTCGTCGGGAGCCGTCCTTTCCCCTGGGAAACTTCCCCCCTGCTTCCCTGCCCATGTGGCCGACTCCCTTGCCACAGCAGCTCTGAGAAGGTCGAACCCACTTGTCCTCACCTCTTCCTTTATTTCCACAGCACTCTAATGCCAGCTTCTCCTGTCTTGGTCTAGGTTCCCTTGAAGCCGGTCTCAAGATAAGGCTGGGCGAGCGGTGGTCTATTTAGGGGTCCCAGGTGCCAGGTTGGAGTGAGGAGCCAGGAATGTGAAAGCCTGTGGCAGGTGTGTTATTGAGCCACTCCCCCAGTAGAAGGGGGGGCCTCACGGCTTGCGGCCCTCCAGGAAACCCTGAGGAGCATGCCCCAGCTCATCCCTCAGAAGGAAGGGAGGCCGGTCCCCACTGCCTGTCCCTTCCGACCTGTCCCCCGAGTGCAAGAGCTGCTCCAAGGGCGGAACTCCCAGCCCCTCTTCTGGGCTGCCTGGCATCTGGGCTGAGCGAGTTTCTGAGGCACGGAGCCAGGGCGCTGCAGGTGCCAGGGCTGGACAGCCTGCAGGGGATGGCACACAGCCCACCTGGCTGCAGTCGAAACCACAGGTGGGCCGAGGGATGTGGCACAGGCCGGGAATACACCTGCCACCCTTCATGTGAGGACGAAGCTTATTCACACACAGATGCACACACTCACATCTATTTACACAATTGCTCAATGCCAGCACTGATTGAGCTCCGGGCCTGGAAGCTCCTCATCCCCCTGGTAAAAATCCAGCAACTGCGTCTCAGACAGAGGGGGCCATTTCCTCATCCAGTTCCACCCTGCCCCCACCCGTTTCCAGAATCCCACATCCCAGAAGGCAGCGATCTGGCCACCCATCCTCGCCTGCCCATGGGTGGAACTGTGACGGGACAGCACAAAGGAGGAACCAGGGTCACACTGGGTAGCAGGTCTTCCCAGGCTGGGGATTCCAAACAGAACGAGGGTGGTGGGTGTCAGCTGTCTGGGGACGAGGGAGAGGGGTCAGCCAGGGAAGCAGACACCGGAAAGGAGATGAACAGCATGAAAAATAACTCAGCACCACCCTAGCCCTGCCTCTAATTCTACAAACCGGACAGGGCAGAGCCCAGCGAGGGTCCCGTGGGCTCAGTCTGCAGCCGCTGGAAGCCACTGTGGCCTTTCTCACTCTGGCTGAATCCACAGCAGGTTTGTCCCACATGCGTTTTGCCTGCAGAGTCATTGTAGAAACCACCTCTTCTATCATTTATTAAAGATGGTGGGGAGGGGGCAGAAGGCGAAGGTTTTCTGGGCAGGATCTAAGCCTCCTGGCGCAGAACAAGGATTAGAACTGTGGACTCAACTTCAAACGTTGCCTCTCTCAGCCATGAGTGGCTCAGGCCACCGGGGCCCCTGTAGGCTGCTGTGTGGGTGACGCACCTGGTCCACATCTGATGCTCAGTCAGAGCTCACAGGGGTGGGGGCTGCCATCTTCAAGACTCTTATGTTCTCATCTATTGGCAACACGGAGAACAGCACACAAGTCTCTTTGTGATCCGCTAAGGCGGGGTTAACACTGCTGGAATCCAGCCCGAATCCAGCCTGAGAGACGCGTCAGCTTCAGATTCCCGGGGACAGTGCGGGCGGTGGGGTCAGGTGAACTCTGAGGCAGCTGCATGCAGCTTCTGCATGCTGTGACCCCAGGTAAGTCCCTGAAACTTCTGGCCTTCCGTCTGTGTGTCTGTCTGCCTCTCCATCCAGGCATCTGTCCTCTTCTGCGTTATCTGGCCCCAGGGATGCCAGGACCGTGGGCAAACTGGTCTATGGTTCCCATAGCAACCAGCCCAGCAAACAGTAAGTGCTCAATACACAACTGTCATTGTTATTTTCAAGAACACTGGCCTGACATCACCTGTTTCCAGGCGACTGGAAATATACTTGGTCAGGGTGGCGGGGGGAGCTGCTAAGAGCGTGGAGTTGCTTGGAGGCCCCAACCTCACCCACCTGGGCCACCTCCGGGGTGTCCTGGGGCCGCAGGGTTGTGGCAGAGGCACTGCTCTCTCGCCATGGGAGGTAGATACTGTGCCATGAAGAACCCGCTGCCTCTAGGCAGGTGGCGCTTCTACAGGTTTCCCTCCAGCTGGCCCTGCCGGGCCCTGGGACCACAGGTAGGTAAATTGGTGTGCACCTGCCTCCCAAGGGGGTTCATTCCTTGTCCGGCTGCAGCTGCCAAATTTTGAGGATGGGCACGCAAGGAGGCCAGGGAGGCAACAGCAAAACCCTGCAAAAGCAGGGGCCAGGCTTCTCCTCGGTCCCCCAGAACCTGGTCCAAAGTAAGCCACGTGCTTTACATTGAAAAGAGAAGTTTCAAGTTGTCCTTCAGCAGGTGAATGGATAGACGAACTGTGGTGTATCCAGATGACGGAATATTATTCAGCAACAAAAGAAGCGTGGCATCACACTGTGAGAAGGCACGGAGGAGCCCTCGAGGAGTGCGGCTAGCTGGAAGACGCCGGCCTGAAAAGGTGACGTCCTGCAGGATTCTAATGATGTGACATGTTGGAAAAGGCAAAACTAAGGAGACAGTAAAAGGGTCAGTGGTGGTGAGGGCTGGGATCAGGGGAGCACAGGGGATTTTTAGGGCAGTGACGCTGCTCTGGGTG